ATAGGTCAAAACCGGGATGAGCCAGCATCAAGACCAGTCAAAAACGGGAGGAGGATGAAACTTGTCCGGTTTAAAAAGTTGGAGGTGCAAGTTGTCTGGTTTCATAGTTGAGGGACCAAATTTAGACTCCGTAAAAAATTAAGAGACGAAAAGTATACTTTTCTCTTCTATTTTTTACCTTCTTTGTAAGAGGTTTCTCTCATCACTTTGTATCGGTTCGGCCATGTTGCTTTATATATAAAGCGGGACGAAAGCCTTTTTCAATATTACAACACACGTTACCAAGATTTTGGACCCAACTGGGTTGTGCCGCCCATTTTCTCTATTTTTAGGCCCAACCCGGCCCCTTTACTTCGTGTCGTGCCATGGCGGTCGGGTTTCATGCCAGCCCAGAAAAGCCCCGCCCACGTCCCAAATGAATCCGTTCATGAATAGCTTACTTGAAGTCTAACATCGTTTGTCTCAAAAAAAAAGTCTAACAACGTACATGCACTGATGCACATGATTTGATTGGTTTGCAGTGAACTAACACTGAGAGGATAAGTAGGTCATGCGATCTCGCGACCCATGACACTGGGTTGGCCTACCTGATATTTGTCCGGTGGCATGATACAAAACACAGCTAGCTAGCGTTTGTTGTGTTGTTGCTTGGAGCTGGAAGAATTGAATCCTTTTTCATTTAATTAAGGGACATTCATATTTGTGCGACGTGAATTTTTGGGACATACAGCCACGCGCTGCCGTTATCACGAGTGTCGGTCCTAGCGTCGTGATTGCTACTTATTATAGCGCATTTGCAATACGTCAAACATTAATTACTAGCTTTCATGAATACGCCGTGGTATACGCCACACCAGTGGCCCAGGGTCATTTATGTTTGTATGAATACAAGGCCCACGTGACGGCCCAGACAATGCAAAATAACTGCTCTCGTTGCTGGGTGGACATAATTGAGCACTTGCGCTAGCTGGTTTCTGGCACCGCAGATCTCCTCCAAGCCTTGCCTGTAAACGCGTGTACGTGCCCCGCCGAGGAACAGGGGGAGGAGTGAAGACGGGTTCCGCAAATCATCTCTCGTTTGCCTAATATAAAGTACTCCTAGCGAATATGGAAGTTATACGCTGCTAGAACAGTGTGATACAGATAACAATACAGGCTAGAGCAGCATCTTCAGCAGTGTTATTAAACTTTCTGGAGCAAATGGATAGCTAACTGGAGCACGTCGCATACGACAGTGCTGCATGTGTCAGAATGAAGAGATAGCACAGTGCCACGGTATATGGTGAGGGACCATGGACAAGTTGGCACCGTGGTGAAAGCCGTGTCTGTGTGTGATTGAGCATTTAACTATAAACCATCCTCTATGCTATTATTAAATTCATTTAAAATTCCAATCAATATTATACCATTTTGTTCGTGCATTTAACTTATCATCGCTAAGATTTTCTTGTGACGCTTCTCTTATTTTCTAAATTGAACTTTCATAATCAGCCAACTAATAGATGTGCATTTTTCTTTCTTTTAAATAGACCCTATCCCACTGCGCATGGCGGGATTAAATGTTCAATCACACACCGAATATACACATGCAACACAGAACATGAAGATAAACCTAAGCTGGTCTAGCATAGTGACAAGTTCACACTAATTCATCTCAAAATTACGTTCACACTAATTCATCTCAAAATTACGTTCACACTAACTAGCTTACTCAATACACGTTAATGATTCTGTTGCAGCTGTAGAGGATGGTGCACTAAGACAGGAAGGCAGTGTGGTGCATTAATCCTAGTAAGTGAGGTGGTCGGGTGTCTTGCAGTTTGTCAACTACTTATGATTTATCGCTCAAGTGGTCTGCTACACATCAATGCAAAATTAACTTCAAACTCTTATGGCTTGTGGGGCATGCACACTTATTGACCAACAAATACGTTGCAAATCATTCCTGTGAATTCTATATACGTGAGGTGTACTATAAATACGGCACGAATCCCGAAGAAATGGAGGGTGCGGGTTACATCCTCGCGTGGCACCATGTCAACTCGTGATTTATCGATATTTGTGCCCTTAATTCAAACCCACTACTCAAATTTACTCTTAACTTTTTTATGTGCTCAAATTTGCTCCTAAAAAGCATTTTAGGTTACAAGAATGCCCTTCCATTTGGTCAAAGTTGTTTGACTGAAACTTAAAAATTCATATTAACAAATTCATATGAACTCAGAAGAATGCAAACTAGGATATAAAAATGTTCATAAAAACATCATCTATATGCACATGTCATTTACGTTCATGGCAAATACACAATATTCCTTGCCCATTACAGGTTGGCTTATCATAGATTGAGAACCTTTTATACTACGGTAAGAACCTAACGATTTTCCGTAGCTTGTAGAGTAAATGCGTTTTGTAGGCAGTCGTTGAGTAGCCGCAACGCGACGTGCGGTACAAAACCGTATTCGTACGTATTAACATGGCGCGGTGCACAAGCATGAAGCATGCGCAGCACGAAGGTACGGTGGTACCTCCTCCTGCTCTCGGGGACCGCCCGTGCGGTGCTCTGTCACCTCACCGGACGCTCGTGGGTGCGGGGTGTCATCGTGTCGTTGCACTGCCTGGAGGTCAGGGCGCGTCAATGGCTACATGTCAGCCGTTTGCCACGAGCCGTCACATCACATGAGCCAGCACCTGCATGCGCGCATGGAGCAGAGTGCTCACCTTCTGGCCCCAGCACTGGCAAGGCCCAAGCTCACCACCAAGGCCGACGAGCTCCCCGAAGCTGTCGTCGTCCAGGATGCGGGTGCCGCCATGGCCGGCTTCGTGGGCCTCCTCCGCCAGCTCGGGGACCTCGCACAGTACGTTGCTCCTGTCCTGTCCTGCTGGCTGCTACAAATTCACCAGAGTAGCCCCTGAATCTGATCTTCTTCAGGCTCGCCGCGGAGGTGTTCGACGACCTGCATGACCAGGCCACGGCGGTGTCCGCACGGGCGTGCGGCCTCACGCTGGGGGCGCGGCGGCTCCAGGCGGAGCTGCCGCTCATCGAGGAGCGGCTCCGCCGTCGTCGATTCCGACAGGCTTGTGTACTTCATCGGCCAGAAGCTCTGTGTGGCATCGCAGGCCACGGTGTCGATCAGCCGGTGACTCTGGTGGGAGGAACAAGGCCGTGCTCCATCGAAAAGTTCATCCAGCGATGCCACGGGCCTCCGCAGCTGTCCATGCTGGACAAGTAACAACACTTCTATACCAAAAATCAAACAGCTTAAAAAGGATTTATTTTTCCTGGTTAATTTGGGCTTGTTTTGGGTGCAGGTATGATGCTGGTTGCGAGGGAGCGTGCTTGAAGAGATACACCGACCCCTCCTTCTTCAGAGCCCACTCTGCACAGCATGAAAACAAACCAGACATTCAGAGTTCAGACATCCATTCCAAACCTCCTGCCGAGGAAGCCCGCCATAAAAAATACTCCAAGTAACGCTTCTTAAATTTCCCTAGCTCATTTTTCCTTTTTTTCCCCAGCTTTCCTACTCAGTGTTCATTCTTTAGCATCCACATTAACCTGACATCTGAACCTCCAGCAGATTCAAAACAGGCGCGTTATCCGATATGCTCCGACAACTTAAATATCGACACATCATCGGAAGAATCAGGCATCAAAAGCAAAACTTTCAGAACCAGGATTCGTCACAAGATGAAGCATCTGAAGCACCCGTTTGGCCTTCAGCTAATTCGCCTGAAATGTCAGACACCGAAGCGCCATGCCCTGCAGTACCAGTGAACAAGGAGGGAAGCAGTTACCTCGTCGAGAGGACCAGCTCGTTCGGGGCATGGCTGTCTCCAGGTGCAGCCTCTACTCGTGCGTGTGACATCACAGAAGACAATGCTGATGGATTTGACAGCCATGGCGCCAACAAGGCTGACGAGAATGCCAACATTGCCACAAATGCTCGTAGCGCCCTTGTCGACTTCATTGCCTCGAGGGGTGAAAGCTCGCGGAGGAAGCTCTCTGTCAAGAAGCACGATGACCCATTAACGGAATCCTTCCGGAACATGGCTAAGAAGCTACTACTTGAGAATGGATCAACAGAGAATCTTCTTAACAACAAACTAGTGCATTCTGAAGACGTACCAGATCCAGATGAAATTGCATTTTACAGCAAAAGCGCCGAGGACACTCAACAAGACGCAGAGCAATGTGACCATCCTTGTGAATAACCTTGTCGACCAGCTAGCATCAATGAAGCAAGTGCCAGTATCACCGATCGCAACCCGGAAAAGGAATAATCTGCATATGCTGGCTACCAATCAGGTATTAGCTGTGACGCTTCTGTGCCGGACAGTGAATGGTGCCATTTACATGGACTGCATGCACCTACCATACATCAGGAACAGAATGGTTGCTCTGTCAATACTGAAGATGTCATGAAGCCGCCGTTGCCGCCATTCTCCGATGCAATGGCTATTTTCTTTTTCTAGAGAATAGGCCTTCAGGCCCAACTTTATATAGAAGGACAACTGTCGTCAACATGCTGCTGGCATTACCAGCTACATAGTGCAAACAAACAAAACATTCCATCCTGAACTTAAAATACTTGGACCAAAATTACCTGTGATTACAATGGCTATATCAGTCAAGGTACATACATATGGGGTCGGTGATTGCGTCGCCTGAACTTAGAATAGTAAACCAAACTTACCACGATTAACCGTGCAGCTAATAACAACTCATTTCAAGTTATCAAAAGAACAAAAGACTGAAAAGATTCAGGCGAGGATGTTCATGCTGATATCACCCATCGAGATGCAGCTTGTGGAGATATATTTCTCGATAGGGAGCCTCCCTCGTGCACTACGTTGCTCCTGTGATCCTGTCCCTCCCTTACTCCCGCTGCATATGCTAGTTTAATTTCACGTTGGATTTCTATACGTGCGTGCTCTTCAAGCTTGCCACGGATGTGTTCTGTTCCGTGGCCTGCACGACCAGGCCCACAACGCGCGCTGCATCATTTCACACTGCGTCTACCCGCGCAACTGCAAGAGCACAAGGCGCGCTGCATCATTTCGTACTGGGTAATCAACCATCTGCTCAACCTCCTTTTCTTGGTGATCGTTGTCACCGTCTCTGTAAGGGGACCTACACTCTTCTTTTCCCCCTCAAACATCCCGGGCTTCTCTCTGCTGAACTCTATTGTTGGTGTGTTGGCGGAGGAGATCCGACAGACTTGCTCTGTGATGGCAGTCTCTGCAAGCTCCACCTCCGGAGCCGTAGCATCTTCACATCCAATAGCGGCATGGATTCTGGTGAGGCTAGAGAGATGCTCAATGCCAAATTCAAAATCTCCATAAAGAGACAGCGTCTCTAGAGCGTTGAAGTGGAGCCTAAGACCCCGCAGCCGTGGCATGGCTCCTCGATCAAACTGCAGCTCATTCCCACCAGCCTTGCATGTGAACCAGAACACCTTAAGACACGGAAAGGCGCCACTGCAAATTATCACCCTTCTTCTTTGTCTTCTGGAAGATGAGTGCGTGTCCGTCATGGCAGCAGCAGGTCCTGAAGATACTAACTTGAGAAGGATAAGATGGGGCGCAGACGCGATGATACTCAGACCTTGCTCTCCCAATTGACTAATTTCAATATTCAAGTGGGTGACACAGGTGGCCATACAAAATGCAGTACTTCCCAGGATTGCACCAGATATAGTCAGTTCAAATCTTTGCAACTGGTACGGGGGACACAAGTTCAGTTGGCCAACCAAGTCACCACCAAGACAATGCAGAGATAGGGACCGAAGGTTAGAGTGTCCAACCACCTTGAGGAAATCAACGATGGCACGTGCACTGTCCACAGATGGGTCTAATCCATCAAAGCTCAAGCCAAGGACACTCAGCCTCCCCGACCGAACCAGCAGCTCTACGACCTTATGGAGTGACTTGACGTTGTCGACACGGATCGTTGATACTTCTTGTAGTCCTTGCATCATAAGGATATCGCCCAGCATCTTCACGGTATCTTCAATCAGTAGGCATACCATCCTTTCCAATCCAGCTATAGATGCAGGCAGATTTCTCAGGTTAGTGCGCCTGACATCCAGCGTCTCCAGGTGCTCCAGCTTTCCAATTTCGCCTGGTAATTCATGGATAGCAGCCCCTCTAAGTCCCAAGTACCTTAGCAGAATCAGCCCTCCAATGCCTTTCAGATGGTGGCTTCTCAAAATACCATTATCTTCCACATCGAGTACTCGTAGAAATTTGAAGGTTCGAAGAGCAGGCTTCCCTTTTCTAACCTTAGGATATGTGAGGAGGGTTGTCCATCCAACACGCCCGCAAACTTGGAGGGTTCGCATGCTAGATAGGTGCAGGGTTTCTGGGAGCAGCTTGCCGGCTTCATCTTCCTTGATGCAGCAATCGAATGAGAACCGTCGAATCGGATACCATGGAGTTAGTCCGGACCTCATATCTGCACTCGTTGTCGCAAAGTTGTCTTCCCTAGACAAAGTTTTGATGAAGTCAAGGATCACACCATGTACCACACATCCTACAGCCTGGCCATCTTCGTAGCCAAACACTGGCTGAATCAGCCGCCTACAGATGAGCTCATTGAAATAGCTTTCTCCTGTTCTCCACAAGTTTTCTTCACGCCTTCCTAAGAAAAATCTCTCAGCAATCCATAGCCGTATCAAACGGTCTTTCTTGATGGTATAATATTCTGGAAAAACACTGAGGTATACAAGACAAGACTTCAAAGGGGCAGGTAGCTCATCATAACTCATGCGCAATAACATTCTCATCCCATCCGATGCGGAACATTGGTCTGATGTTGAAAGGATACGTCTCTCACGAATCTCTGGCTCAGCTAGTCCTGCAGATTTACTGCCGGCTGCAATAAGTATTGCCAATGGCATGCCCCCACACATTTTCAACAACTCATTTTCAGCGGGCCTTTTTGCCTCCTCGTGAAATAAAGTCTTGGATTCTTCCTTGCTAAGAGGCTCCATCTGGTGGATGAAATCAATTGGGCGTGTAGAACAACATTTGGCTACGTCGCTGATGCAAGTTGTGATCAATACTCTACTTCCAAGATCATTCTCAGGCAAAACAGAATTAAGAACATCCCATGCCGAGATGCTCCAAATGTCATCAATTAAGATGAAATACCTGGTATATAGAGGAACATGGTAAAAATTATCGGCTAATATATGATCAATTTATACAGATGACTTATAGCAAGCTGGTTCTGTTTTGTTACTTATCTACTCAATAATTCCGAGAGTCAGTTAGATCCAACTGAATGCCTCTATTGGTTGCCAATACATCACATATGCATTTGTTATGCTGATACTTTTAAGCAGGAAAAGTGCTAAATTTTTATATATATTTTTCCTGTTGATTACTTGTTTGGTCTGCATTGATAAAAAGATTGACAAAACACAACAGATACAGGGGATAAAAAATGCTGAAAATTTGATCTTTTTATCATGATTATCTTGTGATGCATCAAATAACATTACCCGTTATTAATTTGATGTGGTCTCAGATAAATAGAATGGGAAAAGCACGATGAATACACCTACGAATAGCCTCAGTCTGCATTCGCTGATGCTCTTGTGCATTTTATTGCTACATGAAAGTATAGTACATATGTCTATCTGCATTAAAACGATATAAACGAGAAATACCTCTTCGTGACGAGGTGTTCCCTGAGCTCAGTTACGACTTGATTCATTTCAGGAGCTTCTGTACCATTCAGAGGAATAGTGCCCTGGGGCTTTACTTGGTGAAGTATATCCAGCCGAGTGGCCACTAGAGACGGTTTTCGGCCAAGAGTGACGAAAGCTCGGCACTCGAACTTGCATTGAAGCTTTGCATATACCTCCTTTGCAAGAGTAGTCTTGCCAATGCCTTCCATTCCGACAATAGATACCAACTTTAGCCTCGCCTGTGTGGCGGCCAGATGCATGAGAAGCTTACTACTTGGTTCTTTCAGAGCAATGAGATCACGAGTTTTCTCCTCATAAATCAGGGGACAATCAACGGAGGCTGTACTGAGCTTATCACTAGAATGTTTCAAGACCTCACGTGTTTCCCGTATCTTGGCTTTGTAGTCCTGGATTAGTTTCTCCTGCAATTCATCCATGTCCTTTCCGGGCTTCTCATCATGGACCAAAGTTTCCACCTCGCTGACCAGCTCACATGTTTGATCCATCCAAACTGACTGCTCAAGACTCACCGGTGGCCCAAACTTATAGGGGAGTTCCTTTTTAAGGCTCTCCAGATCTTTATGTAAATCATCGATGATCTTGAAGCGATCTTCAGTTGGACTGAGAAGGTCGCACCACGTGAACTGCTCAAGCACATTGCGGATCCGGGACTTGAACAAAGCAGTCATCTCTCTCTCCGAGAAATATGTGGCCTTTGGCTCGTCGATCCACTCTTCGATGTCAAAGACCAGGTCCGTGGCAAACTTCGTCCACAATAGGGCATGCCGATCCATCACCCGCCCCCCGCCGAGCTTGTCGAAACCCTTCTTTAGGTTCACCACGCCTTGACATAACACTTCCATCATCTTGGGATGATTCTTCTTCAGTCTGGTGGAGTTGAGCTTGGCGAGCACGGAGTCGATCGATCCTGTCACCATAGGCTCGTCCACCAAACTGAAAAATCCTCTCTCGCTCGCTGAATTCATCTTGTGTGTTTCAATCTCTTGCTCTACCATTAGGGAAGTAGTGTGGCCGCCGCACACCACAAATCGACCTCGCGCTGCCCAGGTGTGGCCGCCGCCCGCTGCCTATGTGAGGTCGCCGGCGAAAACCAGCCTCGTACAGATGATGCTTGCTCTTCCCTTGATTGATTAGGGGAGAGGAAAGAACGGAGCCCTCGCTGCTTGCCGTGACTTGAAAAAGAACCAAGAAAACTAGACCAATAGGGGGAGAAGCCCCGAAAAGAACCAAGAAGGATGAAGCCGTCGCTGGCCGCTGATTTCGCAAGCCGCTACCGGCGAGGAGCGCCCCCAGGATTCGATCCGCCGTCGATACCGGCGAGGAGCACCGCCCAGGATTCGATACGCTTCCGCTGCCGGCGAAGAGCGGCCCCCAGATTCGATCCGCCGCCGCCGCCGCCGCCGCGCCGCCAAAGAAACAAACGGGAGAGACGGGGAGAAAGGATGGGCGAGGATTTTTTTTTTTCGGGTGAGTCGTTGAGGTTCCGTGAGAATCGACTCACGCACGGTCACGTGAGGGGGTGTTTTTGGTCTGTGCCCCAACTAAATCATCAAATTTTCGATAATGAACCTTCCTCTGATATAAAATAAGTGTCGTCACTTTAAACTTTAATTGTATATGATGGTCACACACTTTTATGGTATCTTCAACAGCAGCCTGATCCAAGAGTAAAGGACTTTTTCCTCCGCAAATCATCCAGCCATGATTATGTTAGTCTCAAATCTTCATCAATGTGTTTGCCTCACACTAGCTACCACAGACATTAACTACCCCTTTGCATGCATGACTGTGTGATTAATAATAACATCTGCATGCGCCATATTAATTAATGCGGCATACGAGGAGACAAGCTGGATTGCAACATTGGCTTAAGCAGTATTAATTTTTTTACCTTGGCATCTGTAATATGGATGTATGGGCTTGGACGCAAAACTAGAGGGAGTACGAAAACCTTTTAGGGTGCACATTTAGTATCTCGTTCTCTTTTGACATGGGTTCTCTTATGTTTGAGAACATGCTTTCCTCGGCTCATGCCAACTTCCTCACCACTCGTTTCAGCTTTGAGAAAGTTAGGACCGCCCTCCTCGCCATGACCGACAATTGAAATCCCGTGTCATATGGGTTCGGCCTTGCGTTCTTCAAGAAGAATAGGGATCTTGTTAAAGATGACAAGCTCTCCCTTGTTAACCAGTCCTTTGATTCAGGTACCGATCCTGGACGTTTGAATAGGGTTTTTATCATTCTCTTGCCTCAAGAAGGTAGGTGCTACTAACCCGGATAATTTTAGATTGATTTCTCTACGAATTGAGCCATCAAAATCAGTTCCGGTTGCCTCTCTTCTTGGCTCAAACCTTGCATCCCCTCTCTTATTTACCAAGACGTATATGGGTTCATTAGGGGCAGAAATATTACCGGTTTTTTTGTTTATGTGTCTCATATAATCCAAACCTGCTACAAAAGGGGAAAAAACTTAGATATCTCTAGTCAATCATTTTAAAGCTGGATTTGGTGTAGCTAGGTTTACAACATAGATTCCTCTAGTAAATCCTATACAAAAAGAAGAATAGATACATGGTATCAAACATACATAGTCTTTGCTTTAAAGAAAAAAGAAACAGAAATAACATATAGAGTTAGAGAATGGAATGGAGTCAACAAATGAGGTAGCTTCATTAATAAGTAAATTTACAAATTAAAATAAAATAAAACACGACCGTCTTTACTATATTTTGCACACACGTTTTGGCATTGCTTGTGCGTTCATAACTCAAAATCGGTGACTTAATGGCCGCCCCCCGACTAAACATAGCAATAGTCACCAAATTCATCTAGGCTACTTAGGAGTATAAAATGATCTTCTTAAGATCGATCTTTTTTCATTTTTTTAAAGGAATTATATATTACAACAATCGCGCTTAGAGTATAAATGAAAACAGTGAAACAAAGTGTCGATTCCGGGAAACATTGGTTTCTTTTAAAGAGTTTTGGTGTAAGGTTTTTATACGAGTCTTTGTTTTTTTGGTTTCGTGAAGCTGGGTCTTTAATACACGTAGCCACTTGGTTTTTCTGGCACTTTTTTTAGCAGGTTAAAGTTGGTTTACTGAGAGACCTGGTTGTCTTTTTGTTAGCTTTTAGTTATAAATACACAACTTATACATACAAGGTTACATCCACAAAATTGACATTTTAATATTAGATATACAAAATTTGAATGAATATCAATTGAATTTTAGTTAGATGTGAAATAGACACTCCCGTTATAATAAACTTTTATACTTAATTATAACTCATTTCTATAATATCCTAATCATAGTTAATGTACTTTTGTACGTAATTTGTGATATTAACTAGATGAAAATTATGCTAAATATTAATAACTGTCTTGTTTAACAAAGATGTTGTGTGCTAAATTTGAAATGTGTTTGCAATGGAAGTTACATTATTTTTGTTTTCTTTCACTACATTAAGCCCTAAAAGACATTTAAAATTAATCTCCATAAATGTGAGAAAAATAATAAACACACAATTATATTCTTTTGCAGATTTATTTTTTATACTTACATGCACCTAGTGTATATATCTATTTATGTATCTTCAAGTATCCTGGTAGAGATCTCTGAAATGCTTGGTCTAAAAAATATCTTGATATCTGTTTATAGTTTATATAAATAAGAAAATTCTAGAGCATATAATTATTTACAAGGAGCTTGCCACCAAATCATTAGCATGTTGAATTATCCTTTCTAGATGAAATATGTCTCACATGTACATCCGGTTCAAGAATCCAATGATACATATATATGCTTTATTTCATAACAAGGATAGCCTTCATATCTTACATTCTTAAGAAGTTGATCCCCACTACTAGCAATTCTCTCAACATGCACACTATCCAAGTCAGAATGATGCCACATAAGCATTCAATTTCCAAGTAATCTGCCACATCAGCGGCTGTCAACAAAAAGCTGACATGTTCAGAGCAGTCCATTACAATTTCCTTGCCTTCAGTTTCCTTCGCATGCTGACATGCAGCCCATTACTCCATCCACATGCAACTCATTATTAAACTGGTTCTATAGCTGGCTCATTTGGACGTTGGAAGCCCATGGGTCTTACCTGTAATTGAATGACTGGCTCTTAACAAAAGAGATAATATCTCATTTAAATACTCCACCAGGTCTCTAATAGTTCGTCTTCCCAGTGGGACTATTACCACTACCGCTTTCTCTTCTGTATCCACTACTGATGGCTACAAATGCCCATGAGACGGAAGCATTCATCTTCCTTCATCTCCCCCTTCCTTGGATGTTCAGTGGGCAGAACCACAACAAAAACACCATGAACTAAATCTCCAGATCGCCTATTCATGCCTCCATAGGCAAGTGTTGCTCCATCTAGATCGTCTATCCCTGCGGTTGCTGCCCCCACCGGTCACCATGAATGTCACTCCCTGTTTTCTTACATTTCTCTTTGATTTACAACTAGGTGTTCGTGTTGTCCTTCAATTGAAGTCAAGTTGCATGGAGGGGTTGGTTGACATGGATGTGTGATATTCTACAAGTCTGTCATGTGTTTGCTAAAAGGTACGTAAGAACTGTGAGTACCATGTCTTTGGGGGCACCTGTTTAGAGATCACCACTGTTGTTGGATATTTCATCAGAATAAAATATATTGGGTTTTTGATGGACATCTTTATCTCGTGTTTAATCTGAATGTTCCTTTTTCTCAGGATTGTCAAATACGATAATTGAACATCTCTTTTTCATCAGGCCATCTACACAACATTTCAGTTATTTTCGGTGTTGAATCAATAGCAACTACCAATGTGGCTCTCTATATACTCTGAAGGTATTACCTTTTGAACTATCCTGTAGTTTCATTTCAGCTATAATATAGTTCAAGACCTTCAAATATCCCACGAGCAAAATAGTGTGGGGTCTGCCCGACGCCGCCAGATCCATGTCTTGACTGGTATTTGTTTCCAAGCCTATAATCAAGAGTTGATTTGAACTCTTCCCACCAGTCTTTGTGTCAGTGATAACAACACTGCATCTGTTTGTGGCACCACAGACCACTTGCAATTGCTGTTAGGGAACGTTGCAGAAAACAAAAAATTTCCTACGGTTTCACCAAGATCCATCAATGAGTTCATCTAGCAATGAGTGATCGGAGTGCATCTACATACCTCTGTAGATCGCGAGCGGAAGCGTTCAAAGAACGGGGATGAGGGAGTCGTACTCGTCGTGATCCAAATCACCGGAGATCCTAGCGCCGAACGGACGGCACCTCCGCGTTCAACACACGTACGGGCAGTGTGACGTCTCCTCCTTCTTGATCCAGCAAGGGGGAAGGAGAGGTTGATGAAGATCCAGCAGCACGACGGCGTGGTGGTGGATGCAGCAGTCACCACAGCAGGGCTTCGTCGAGCTTCTGCGAGAGGGAGAGGTGTAGCAAGGGAGAGGGAGGCGCCAAGGCTTAAGGGTGCGGCTGCCCCTCCCTTCCCCCCTTTATATAGGCCCCTGGGGGGGCGTCGGCCCTTGGAGATCTGATCTCCCAAGGGGGGCGGCGGCCGGGGGGGTGGAGTACCCCCCAAGGCAAGTGGGGCGCCCCCCCCCCCCCACCCTAGGGTTTCAACCCTAGGCGCAGGGGTGAGCCAAGGGGGGCGCACTAGCCCACTATGGGCTGGTTCCCCTCCCCACTTCAGCCCATGGGGCCCTCCAGGATGGGTGGCCCCACCCGGTGGACCCCCGGGACCCATCCGGTGGTCCCGGTACAATACCGGTGACCCCCGAATCTCTCCCGATGGCCGAAACTGCACTTCCTATATATAATTCTTTACCTCTGGACCATTCCGGAACTCCTCGTGACGTCCGGGATCTCATCCGGGACTCCGAACAACTTTCGGATTACTGCATACTCATATCTCTACAACCCTAGCATCACCGAACCTTAAGTGTGTAGACCCTACGGGTTCGGGAGACATGCAGACATGACC